CTATTCGGAGGGCTCCAAAGAGAGAACTGGAATAATCCCTAAAATGAACCTCTGATACACAATGGACTATTTCTGGACTTTGTATACCATTCCATTGCTCTGTTGTCTGTCTTTTAACAACTTTCAAAGTTGTCTTGGCTCTTCAAAGTCTTTTGCATCTCCATAGCAATTTTAGAATTGGCTTGTGCATTTCTACAAAAAATGTGATTGGAATTATACACTTGGGGACAATTAATATCATGGTGATTTTGAGTCTTCCAACCCATGAAAACAGTAGCTCTTCACTAGTTTAGGTCTTCACCTTTCCCACAGGCTGCTAACAGCTGTGTCACATTATTTTCAATCATCAGTGATCACTTTTATACTAGATTTAAACATCTAAATAAATAAAAATTTCCAGTGCAAAAAACTAGATCTACTTTAGTTTCTCTTGGCAATATTTTATGGATTTTAGTGTTCAGACCTTACAAATCTTTTGTCAGACTTTTGCTTAAAGTATTTCATCTTTCATGCTATTGTAAATGTTATTTTTAACTCAGTTTATAAAGGGTTAATAGTAATACATGTAAATATAATTGATTTTTTTTTTTTACCTTGTATCATGCAGCCCAGCTAAATTCACTCAGTTCTAGTAGTGTTTTTTTGGTGGCACTGAGGTTTGAACTCAGAGTCTCATGCTTGCTAGGCAGGTGCTCTACCATTTGAGCCACTCCACCAGCCCTTTTTGTGTGTGTGTGTGTGATGAGTTTTTTCTAGATAAGCTCTCACAAACTATTTGCCCGGGCTGGCTTCGAATTGCCCTCCTAATCTCTTGTCTCCTGAGTAACTCGGATTACAGACATGAGCCACCAGTGCCTGGCTGGGGGCTTTTTTGTTGTTGCTTTTTTGGTGGTGCTAGAGTTTAGACTCAGGGCCTTAAACTTGCTAGGGAGGTACTCTACCGCTCAAACCACTCCTCCAGCTCCAGTTTCTTCTCTTAGGTTTTCTCACAGTCTTTTTGTCTCCTGTTCCTGGCTGATATATGTTGAAGGAGCAATTTCAGGAAACAAGTGGAAGTTGTCATTATGCAGTCTCTTGGTCATTAGCTGGGCCCATGTTAGCACTAGATTCTTATAAATAACTAACATGGTAGGTGCTCCAAAGAAAAATAAAGCTGGATAAGGGGATGGAAAGCAATGAGAGAAGGGGCTGTTAGGTAGGGCAGCAGGGGATATCTTATAATAGTTTTCCAGCAGCTGGCAGTGAAGTTTGTGGGGACAGGTTGCACAAAGGTAGAACTACAATTCTTTGTTTGTTTATTCCCTTTTCCATCTCTGATCCACCAAGGACCTTTTCTGGCTGGGCCCCAGCTTTATCCTCTAAACTTTTCATTCTTTTTCTCTTTCTTTCAAATATTGGCAACCTGCCTAGCAAGCATGAGGCTCTGAGTTCAAACCCCAGTGCCGCCAAAAAAAAAAAAAAAAAAAAAGTTCAGATCTGCCAATCTACAGAATTGCAAACATAGTATAAAAAACTCCCACATAACCTGGGCTTGCTGTCATTCTCCACATGTTAACATTTGGCCACATGGGCTTTATTACCCCCTCCCTCTCTGTCTAGATATATTGATACATTTTTTTTCCTGAACCATTTCAGAGTTAGTTGGTTACAAACATCCTGCCTCATACCCAGAAATACTTTGGAGCATGTTTTTTGGAATAAGATCTTTTTTGTTGTTTTATATCCATAGTACACTTAAAATTTTTTTTGGAAATTTAACACTGATGCAGTACTTTTATCAGTTCATCTCTTTTTTTTTTTTTTGGAGACAGGGTCTTTGCTGTGTGTAGCCCAATCTGACACTGAACTCGTGATCCTCCTGCTGCAGCCTCCTGAGTGCTGGGATTGCAAGGACAGGTCACCACTCTCAGCCCAATTGTTCATTTTGACCACTTTTCCCCCTTTTCCAGGGATAGCCTAGAATCACACTTTCCATTTGTGTGCTGACATATCTCTTTACTCTCCTTTAATCTAAAAAGGTACTTCAGCTTTAAGTCACTTATTTTTCCAGCTGGGTTTGATGGGTGTTTTCTCCTTAGATTCAGGTTATATGTTCTGGGGCAGGAATACAACAGAGGCGTTGTTGTGTCCTTCTCGGTGTATTACATCCAGAGGCACATAGCATCAGTTCATTCCACTGCTGATGACAGTGACTCTAAACATTCTACATTGAAACTTCTCTTGTAGCCGCGTAAACTCTGATACATGTGTCCTTGAATTCTGACTAGAATCTCTCCCACTTAGTGCTCATGCTCGTAAGCAAGCAGCACTCTGTTCAGTCTCAGTTCAGTCAGATGAGTCTGGGTTGCCTCCCAATTTTCTCTCTCCTTTGCAGCAACACTGTGCTTCCCATCAGGAATCAGGATACTTCTTTTCCTAGTGAGTCACATCTGCCAGCCAGAATCTCTGAACCAATGATCATTTCTTCTATACAGTCAGCTTATTTTTAGTATTTTCTTGGTTTTAAATGAAGTACTTTTATGTTTTGACCTCAGGGAAGTCTGTTCAGAGGAGAGTGTTAACAGCTGAACATGGAGAAGAACTGGATGTCACTGGGTCAGCTTGGATTAGGCTCAGGTTCATTTTACCCCAAATTACTGTCTTTTAGGCTAGCCATATTTGAGTATAGTTAATATTTTTGCGAGTTTATAGCATGTCAGTTACAATGCATTCTTCCTGTCCTTGAAACAGCTCTAGAAAGTAGATGCCATTTTCTTCATTTTACAGTTGAAAATCTGGAGGCTTAGAAAAGTCAAAGTAATATGATTAGAAATTACCAAGATTCAGATTCTTGTCTGTCCAACTCAAGGTCTTGCTCTTTTCTCTTCCCCCTATGGCAGTACTGGGGTTTGGACTCAGGGCCTTACGCTTACTAGGCAGGCACTCTACCTCTTGAGCCAGTCTGCCAGCTCTTTTTTGTGTTGGGTATTTTCAGAATAGGATTTCGAAAACTATTTGCCCAGGCTGGCCTCGAACCGTGATACTCCTGAACGCTGCCTCCTGAGTAGCTAGGATTACAGGCGGGAGCCACCAGTGCCCAGCTTCCCTATTTTGTAAACAGAATAGCTGTGAAGAAAGTCACAGGGCTATCAGTGTCAAGTGTTAGTCTTCACAGACTGAAATGCAAAGGTAGTCTAGATTGGAAGTAGTTGTCAGCAGTTGCCATCCACTTTTTGAGGCATCTTTAAGTAAAAGAACTTAGATTTGGGGGGAGGTTGGCCCAAATAATGTATATACATATAAGTAAATGTAAAAACAATAAATTAAATTAAATTTTAAAAAGAACTTAGATTTTTTTTGAGTTTCAATGTCCCCAGCTGTAAGACCTGGTTGCCTGGGGTGATCCTGCTTCACACCTGTTTCCTAACATAATTATTAATAGAGCCTTACCCACTTTCAAAAGTGTTGTGGTTTAGTAGGGCACAATGGTTTCTTCCTGTAGTCCCAGCTTCTTGAGAGGTTGAGCAAGGAGCTTCCCTTAGTCCAAGAGTTCTGGGCCAACCTGCGTGAAACCTAGTGTCTGTCTCTCTTTCTTCAGTACTGGCGTTTGAACTCAGAGTCTCATGCTTGCTAGACAGGCACCCTACCACTTGAGCCAACAAAAATAAAAATCAGCCGGGTACTGGTAGCTTGCGCTTGTAATCCTAGCTACTCAGGAGGCAGAGATCAGGAGTTTAGAGATTCGAAACCAGCCTGGGCAAATAGTTCTCCAGACCCTATCTCAAAAATACCTAACATAAAAAGGGCTGCTGGAGTGGCTCAAGGTGTAGGCCCTGAATTCAAGCCCCAGTATCGCAGGGGGATGGGGGGAATAGTTGGCCATGGTAGCTCATGCCTATAATCCAAGCTGGGAGGAGCTGAGGCAAAAAAGATTGTAAATTCCAAGGGCCAGGTCAAGGCAGTTTAGCCAGACTCTGTCCTAACATTAAAAAAGGGTTTAGGGGAATAGCTCAGTGGTAGAGCCCTCACTTAACATGTGTAAGACCCTGAGTTCAAAATCCAGTCCCACACACAAAAGTATTGTGGTTTGGATAATTATATGGTCCCCTACTCATAATCCTTCCTGAGTTCTCTTCAGTTGAACACAGAGACCAGAGTTTCATTGTAACTAGTACCACTCTTTGCCTTCACCCCAATTCATACATTTCCAGTTAGCTTTGGTTTTAAAGTCTAACCAGTTGGCCTAGACAATTTATAAGCATTCTTTTATATTTATTTATGGTACAGAGTGAGGTTTGAACTCAGGACCTTGCACTTGGTAGGCAGGCACTCTACTGATTGAGCCATTCCACCAGCCCTTTTCGTTGTAATTATTTTTTAAGTAGAGTCTTGTTTTGTTTTTTGGGTTTTTTTTGGCATGGGCCAGCATGGACTGCAGTCCTCCTTTAAATCTCTCACATAGCTTGGGTGACAGGCATGCACCACCATGCCCAGCCATTGGTTGAGTTGGGATTCTTTCAAACTTTTTGCATGGTCTGGCCACCAATCTTGATTGTCCCAATCTCAGCCTCCTGAGTAGCTAGGATTACAGGCTGAGCCACTGTATCTGATATATAAGCAAGCATTCTTTACTTTAACTTTTTTTGTTTTGTTTTGTTTTGAGATTGCTTTTCTCACTGTGTTACCCAAGCTGGCCCAGAACTCCTGGACTTAAGGGATCCTCCCACCTCAGCCTCCCTAACGTTAGGACTTCAGGCATGCGCCATTGTGCCTGGTATGTTTGCTTAATTTATTCAACAGTTCTCAAGGTTTTGCCATCCTTCTTTTCTGCCAAAATAATTTAAGGTTAATAACACTTTACCCGAGTGGACATCAGTAGCCAAAATAAACTGTTACATGCCCGATTCTCTTGAAGTGGGATATGCCTGTATGGCTATGCTAGTGGGGTGCTCACTGGCATGCAGGACATAGTCAGAAAGCAGTCCTGGCTTCTGTAACTTACATTTTCTGTCTTTTGGCAGTGCACGATCTGATTTTTTGGCGAGATGTAAAGAAGACTGGATTTGTCTTTGGCACCACACTGATCATGCTGCTTTCCCTGGCAGCTTTCAGTGTCATCAGTGTGGTTTCTTACCTCATCCTGGCTCTTCTCTCTGTCACCATCAGCTTCAGAATCTACAAGTCTGTTATCCAAGCTGTACAAAAGTCAGAAGAAGGCCATCCATTCAAGTAAGTTGAAGTGACAGTCCACATTTTAGTGGAAGGGTCTGCTGGGACTAATCAGATCTAAAAATTGAACCTGACTAAAATGAAGAATTACGGAGCCTTATGCAGCCCACTGTGACATGAACCATCCCCACAGACTTTACAGTCACCCGAAGAAGTGTCCAAATTAGGATCCAAGAATTTTTTGACAAGGCTCACACTGTTAAGTCTGGAGAGGACTAAATTCCTGAGTGGGCCCAGGAACACAGAGTCCCTGGAGTAGTCAGATGGCCACATGTGCATTTGAGGCACCACATGGTATGGCCTTGACACAGCTTTGGAATCCTGGTGTTGGGGCTGTGCTTTTGGTGACATTAGAACTCAGTGCATTTGAGTTCTGTTTCTTTTAATTTGACTTCTTTTTCTTTCTTTTTTAATTTTTTTGTAGTACGGAGGATTGAACTCAGGGCCTCACACTTGCTAAGCAGGTGCTCTGCCACTTGAGCCACTCCCCTAGCCCTAATTTGACTTCTTTCTTAGTGGTCATTTAAGTTTCATAATCCCAGAGACAAGTCTTAATGAAGTCACTAGGTCATACATTTCTAGAGTCTCTTGTTTCTAGCATTTCTGATTGTGCTATAACTTTAACAAATGCTTTCTTCACCCTTCCTTAACATTTTTAGCTCACAAAAACTGTTTACTTGAACATTAAGAAATGACAGTTTTTCTAAAGCTTTTTCTGGTAACCGCTCAGGACTACAAAAGAACAGGCCACAGCAGATGTTGGTGCTGTACATTCTCTTGATGGAAATGGAGGGAGTAACTCAAGTCCTGCGGCATTGAAAGTGTAGTGTAAATTAAGGACTGGAGAGGTGGGTGGAAGAGTGCTTGCCTGGCCTGCTCAAGGTGTTGGATTTGATCCCAGCACTGCAATCAAAAAGAAAAATGCATATATAAACAGGAAACCTCATAAAAAAATTGTAGGTCCCAACAGCAGCTCTCTCTGGACTGCATGCCTGTGACTTGGGCAGTGTGGCACACATCTGTAATCCCAGTACTCAGGAGGCTAAGGCAGGAGTACCAGTAGTTTGAGGACAACTTGAGCTAGCCTGGGATACATAGTGAAACCTTGCCCCAAAACACCAAGGACTGGGTCCCAGCACCACCAAAAAAAATTACTGCAACTTAGTTTTTGTTGTTACTGTTAAATTATGATTTATACTTTTTGAAATAGGACCTCACTATGTACCCCAGTCTAACCAGCCCAGGCTGGTCTTGAACTTTTTACTTCCTCAGCCTCCTGAATGTTGGGATTACGGGCATGTTACACCAACACACTTAGCTGCAAGTTAATTTTAATGGATCAGTGGTTATTGAATGAATGAGTGTATAAATTTTACTATTTGCAATAAGCTCAGATGTCTTTTTGTTTGTCTTGCATTTTGTTTTGGGTATTGTTTGAGACAAGATCTCAAACTAATGCTTCTCCTGCCTCTGCCTCTCAACTACTGGGATTACAAATTTGAGCCACCATGCCCTGCTAAGCTCATATGTCTTAATGGTTTTTTTTCCCTTTTTTGCATGGTACCTGTGGATTTATAAAATGTATTGTCAGGAGAGGAGAAGGAAAGGTGGGGGAAGAGAATATGGTTGAAGGTACATTGTATACACATATGAAAAGTACATAATGAAATTCATTTTTAAGGGAGAGGGGCATAAGAAAGAATAATAGAGAGCTGGTGGAGTGGCTCAAGTAGAGTGCCTGCCTAGCAAGCATGAGGCCCTGAGTTCAAAACCCAAGTGCTGCCCAAAAAAAAAGAAAGAAATAGAAGGGGTGGTGAATATGATCAAAGTACATTATATCTATGTATGAAAACAATCATGGTGAAACCCCTTATTTTGTACAGTGAACATATGCTGACAAAAATCATTTTTAAAAAAGTAAATGGCACAGGAAATTAATGTGAGTCAACTCCCTGTATAGTTATCCTTATCTCAACTAGCAAAAACCCTTGTTCCTTCCTATTATTGCTTATACTCCCTCTTCAACAAAATTGGAGATAAGAGCAAAATAGTTTCCGCTGGGTATAGAGGGGGGGGAGAGGGAGGGGGCGGAGGGGGTGGTAAGGGAGGGGGTGGGGGCAGGGGGGAGAAATGACCCAAGCATTGTATACACATATGAATAATAAAAAAATAATAATAATAAATAAACTAAAAAAAAGACAAAAAAAAATAAGTAAATGAAACTGGGCGCTGGTGGCTCTCTTCTGTAATCCTAGCTACTCAGGAAGCAGAGATCAGAAGGCTCGAGGTTCCAAGCCAGCCCAGGCAAATAGTTGGTGAGACCCTATCTAAAAAAACCCTTCACAAAAAAGGGTCGGTGGAGTGGCTTAAGATGAAGGCCCTGAGTTCAAACCCCAGTACTGGGGGGAAAAAAAAAAAATGCATGTCTCCTCCCTCCATTTTGTTTTCCTTGCCTTCTGAGTGCTGAGATTATGCTTGCACCACCACACTTGGTCCAACAAATACTTTCAGTGCCTCCTTTATCATTCTGAGATGAAATTTGTAGGTAATAAAATCTTTCTATAAACAGAATTTCAAAACAATAAATGAACTATAATATAAAAGTGTGATGGCATAGAAATCCATTTATAATAAAATAATGGGTATTTCAGTCAATATTTAGTTGCTTGGACATAACCACGGCACAAAAATAACAAAGTCAGATACTTGTACCTACCTGTATAATCACTGTACAATCACAAATTAAAAAAAAAAAAACTGGACCAGGGACACATACCTCAGTGGTAGAGGGCGTGGCTAGCATGTGCAAGGCCTGGGTTTGATCTCCAGCCCTGGGCAAAGTGAGGATGAGGAGGAGAAAGCCTTTGTAAAGTTTTTGTATAAACAAAGTACAATGTTAGAAAATTCTGGGGCTACAGTCATGGCTTAAGTGGTAGAGCACCTGCCTAGGAAGGATTGCAAGGAGACAGGAGAAAGAGAGAAACAAAATTCAGGATATTGGGCTTTGAGTGTGGCTCAAGTAGTAGATGCCTAGCAAGCATAAGAGGTCCTAAGTCCAAACTCCAGTACCACAATAAAACAAAAAAAGAAAAGTAAATTCAGGAAATACCTTGTTTTCATATGTTCTGAACTTTTAATTGTAAATAGATTTACCTTCATAAATACCCAACAAGGAAGTAAAAGTTATGCAGAACACAGAAAATCCCACACTTTGTAGGAATCTGGCATCTTGGCTCAGCCTATTAAATGACTAGTGCTCCCACCCCATGATAGCAAAAAATCCCCCCCTGATTTCTAAAATGCATCCTGGGGGCCAGTTTTCACCCTTATGCTGACAGAGAATCTTCCCTCTCGTGTCTAATGTGTATCTCTTTCTTCTTCTGGAAGAGCCTACCTGGATGTGGACATTACCCTGTCCTCAGAAGCTTTCCACAATTACATGAATGCTGCCATGGTGCACATCAACAAGGCCCTGAAACTCATCATTCGTCTCTTTCTGGTGGAGGATCTGGTTGACTCCTTGAAGGTTAGTTGCTTCTGCAGCTTGTGGTGGTTAAACTAAAAAGAAAAAAAACCAGAGTGAGTATGATTGAGAGGGAGAACGCTGCATAGGCTTTTATCAGACAAAAACAATCATTGTTTTTGATATTTATTTGATACCTACCGGTGTCAATAGAGAAAGTTGATGCTTCCTCCCAAAGAGCAAACAGAGGTAGTGGATTTGGCAACAGTGCAGTTACTCATCTGTCTTTGGACCTAACAGATGGACACATTAACACATCCTGAAGTGCGTAGTGCGTGTGGAGGAATCTTCACTTTGAAATTGTCTGTGTTGTGTACCACCACACTTACGCAGATCTGATTAGCTAGCAGAGAATGGCATCAATTTTGCATTACCCTTGTTCCTGCTTAACCCTCTGTCATTGACTTTTGCAGCTGGCTGTCTTCATGTGGCTGATGACCTATGTTGGTGCCGTTTTTAATGGAATCACCCTTCTGATTCTTGGTAAGGTGGCAAGGAAAGGGTGTGTGTGTGCTCCTAAAGTAGTTTGGAAGAGTAAATGTAAGGAGAGGCCCAGCAGGACATCTCATTCCACATGGTCCAGCCTTTAATAGTCATAGAGACTGCATGGGATATTGGAGGAACCTGTGTTTGTGGTCACAAATTTATTAAATGGCTCTAATTATTAAAAAAGTTCAAAACAGCTGGAAGTAAGAGTTACTTAGATTTCATTTAAATATAGGAATCTTACTTACAGAAACCATTTTTTAATTTGGAAATTGGTATATGTGGTACAGCGAAAGCAGCCTTGTGTACCTTAAGAGGTTTTCGAGTTTTCCCACTGCCCTAAGTGAGCTCTGTTTCTAACTGTCCTTAGTTGGGAGCTCAAGCCAGGATTCCTTATTTTGAGGATCTATGCACCACTGTACTTGGGAAAAAACATGTATTGCTTGAGTCTTAAGGCTTTGTCTTATATCTGTACTTGCCATGTCCCTTGATTCTGTCTTCACAGCTGAGCTGCTTGTTTTCAGCGTCCCAATTGTCTATGAGAAGTACAAGGTAGGCATTTGTTCTAAATCAGGTGTACTGGTCTATGTATGACTAGTTTTAGTTCATTTAAAGGTGCTGCCAGACGATGGTGGCTCATACCTGTAATCCTAGCTACTCAGAAGGCAGAGATCAGGAGGATCGAAGTTTGAAGCCAGCCCAGGCAAATAGTTTGAGAGACCCTATCTTGAAAAAAACCCACCACAAAAAGGGGCTGGTGGAGTGGCTCAAGGTGAAGGCCCTGAGTTCAAACCTCAGTACCAAAAATAAAGTCAGGTGCCTGTGAGAAACTAGTGACAGTGGTTTCCTCCAGTGAGGGAAATTGGATATATAGAACAGATACGGGTAGGAAAGGGACTTTTTATACCTTGCTGTATGCCTTTTGAGTTTTTATCACATGCATGTATTATCTGTTAAGTAAATTGAACAAATGCTTAATGAATAAAAGCTGAGTTTAAAAAGAAACAAGCTGTGGGCTGTAAAGAAATCATCAGTGCAAATAGATGCTTGCATTGTGGACAGTGTTTGCAGACTTTACTAGATACAGATTAACCTATCCCGCAACAGACTTCTTGGCTTTTGATATTAAGTGAATTCATCTTTACCCAGGAACCATAACACATTTATGACTACAGATGTAGATTAGACATGAAGTTTTAGTATTCAGAAAATGTTGCAGGAGCGTGGCTCAAGCAGTAGAGCATACCCAGCCTAACTAGCATGAAGCCCTTGCAGTTCAAACCTCAGTACCACTCCAAAAGGAGAAAATGTTATACTGCAGTGTCTCTAAAGGAAATACCAATTAAGGTTTACTGCTTCAAAAGATGAGTGATTTTTACTTTAACAAAGTATAGCATAAATTGAAGTCTGAAACCAGAAATTTATAAAAAATATTTTCATTTCCCAGAATATTCAGTAATTTTTTTAAACTAGACAAAAGAAAAGTACCTTCAGGAAAATTGTAAAATCTATGTGTTGCCACAACTCAGTCTTTTTTCCTTCCTTAAAGACCCAGATTGATCACTATGTTGGCATTGCGCGGGATCAGACCAAGTCAATTGTTGAAAAGTAAGTATGTGTAGGGACTATTTTCATTTTTCTCGTGTACTTTTTCCCTCCAAAATGTTAATGCCAAAGATGAGTAATTTTTAACCCTGAAAAATCCTTGGTTTTCAACTGCTTGTTGAAAACGCATCTGTTTTTTTGAGTCAGAGTCCTGCTGTGTGGCCCAGGCTGGCCTCAAATTCGAGATCCTCCTTCCTCCATCTCCCAAGTGTGGGGATTACAGGCATGTACCACAACTCCCAGCCTTTGATTTTGTGTGTGTGGTACTGGGGTTTGAACTCAGTGCTTTGTGCTTGCAAGGCAAGCACTCTACCACTTGAGCCACACCTCCAGCCCAATGCTTTTTAATATAAGATGCAAAAAATGTTTTTTAGCCAGTTGTGGCAGTCATACCTGTAATCCCAGTTACTCCAGAAGAGGTGACAGGGTTGGAGAGATCAGAATTCCAGAACAGTCTATAGCCATACCACCCTGAACATGTCCTTTCTCTTCTGATCTTGGAAACTAAGCAGGGTCATGCTTGGTTAATACTTGGATAGGAGAATTCAAGGACAGTCTGGGACCTGATGTATGGCTCAAGCAATAGAGCACCTGCTTTGCAAGTGCAAAGCCCTGAGTTCAAACCTCAGTTCTGGGGGTTGGGGCAGGAACTGTCTCAAAAAAATAAAAACAAAAAAAAGGGTGAGTGTTGCTGTTAGAATAGCTATATCAAGAACATTAACAACAAATGTGGCGAGACTGTGGGGAAAAAGAAGCCCTCATACACTGCTGGTGGGAAATGTAAGCTAGTGTAACCACTTTGGAAAACCATATGGAGGCTTCTTAAAAAACTAAACATAAATCTGCCATATGATCCAGCAATCCCACTCCTAGGGATATGCCCAAAGGAATGCAACCCAGGTCATTCCAGAGGCACCTGCACACCCATGTGTATTGCAATGCTATTCATAATAGCCAAGTTATGGAAACAGCCCAGATGCCCCACTGCTCACAAATGGATTAAGAAAATGTGATATTTATACAGCATGGAATTTTATTCAGCCACAAATAAAGAATGAAACTTTGTCGTTTGCAAGTAAATGGATGGAACTGGAGAACATCATCTTAAGGGAAGTTAGCCAGGCTCAGAAGGCTAAAGATCATGTTCTCCCTCATATGCGGATTATAGACCTAAAACATATGTAGTAATATTATTGGACATGGGTCACACACTAAGGGCAGAACGCATATGGAAGGAATAGGGACAGGAAAGGAAACCTAAAACTTGAATGTGGCTGATGTGCCCATTGTAGGTGAGCAAATATAATAAACTGGCAGAGGCCACTATGGGAAGGGGACCGGGAAATAATGAAAAGGTCTGGTAGAGATGAACCAGTGTGGATTGTAATATACATGTGCATGGAAGCAACACTAGGAATCTCTCTGTATAACTATCTTTATCTCAAGTAGCAGAAACACTATGTCTTTCTTATTATCTCTTATGTTTTCTCTTTAACAAAATTACAGAACAAGAGAGCAGAACAGGCTCTGCCTGGAAATAAGGTGGGGCGTTGGGAGGAAGCGAGACAGTGGGGAGAAGTGAGCCAAACATTATATACACATATGAATAAATATAAAAACAATTAAAAAATTAATTAACAAAAAAATAAACGGTGAGTGAATGGAACCACTTTGGCTTTTAGATGAGATTGGGCACATGCCGGATAGCATGGCTGTAGACCACTTTAGATGTGCTTGGTATCTACATCCTTCATTTATTCTCTTACGGATATGGATCCATGTTAAGCCAAATTCTTCCCTATCTTTTCTAGTAAGTAAATAGCTTATGGCTTAAAGTTAACTCTTTTCTAAGATTACCAAATGCCTGTTTTCCTTTTCCAAATAATTAATACTTAGGCAATAAAATATAATAAAATATACCCAGGAGCAGCTTTCTTTTTATTTTGAATTATTCATAGCAAATACTTCAAACCCAATACTTTTAATTAAGATGTTAGCATTTTTCAGTATTTTCTTCAGCTTTTTAAGAAACAGTACCACAAACTGTTGAATCCCCTTTGTGCTTCTGGAGCCCCTTTCACACCTCAGATTTTAGTGCTTTTCCCAGGTTTATCCAGAAGAAACAGAACTGGGCATGGCTTAAATGGCTGAGCACTTGACTAGCAAACTCAAGACCCGAGTTCAAGCCCCAATACTGAAAAAAAAAAAAAAGAAAGAAAAGAGAAGTCAGATGCTGGATTTTAGGGCTGGTGGAATGGCTCAAGTGGTACAGCGCCTGCCTAGCAAGTGTGAGACCCTTAGCTCAAACGCCAGTATATCCAAAAAAAAAAGAAAATGAGTAGCTGGGGGTGTAACTCAGTGGTAGAGCACTGTCCTAGCATGCATGAGGGCCTGGAGTCCATCCCCAGCACCGCAGAAGAAACTGAATACATCTAGACAGGTCTAGCTTTATGCCAGAATCTTCACCTGAATTTTTGCTTTTTCTTTTTTTTTTTTTTTTGGTGGCACTGGGATTTGAACTCAGGGCCTTAGGCTTGCTAGGCAGGTGCTCTCCCACTTGAATCACTCTGCCAGCCCTTTTTTTTGTATTGTGTATTTTCAAGATAGGGTCTTGAACTATTTGCCTGGGGCTGGCTTCGAACTACAATCCTTTTGATTTTTTTTTCTTTTATTATTCATATGTGCATACAAGGCTTGGGTCATTTCCCCCCCCTGCCCCTACCCCCTCCCTTACAACCCACTCTGCCCCCTCCCTCTCCCCCCCACCCCCTCAATACCCAGCAGAAACTATTTTGCCCTTATTTCTAATTTTAATCCTCTTGATTTTTGCCTCCTGAGTAGATAGAATTATAGGCATGAGCCACCAGTACTCAGCTGATTTTTTTGCTTTTTAAGGTGTATATTGACAATAAAACTGAGTGGACAGTTGGCACAAATGTCTGATTACTGTTTATTACCCTAGTAGTTTACAAAAGATGGTTGTACCTCAGTTTTATACCTGATGTCTTGATTTGCTAGTGTTAGCTGACTTGGGTCACCTGTTATGATGTGATATTTATGGAGCGTAGCCTTGACATCCCTGAGGAATGACCCCTGTGCCATAATAGAGGGCAAGTTTGGTATCCTGTGAGGGGCCAGGAACTATTGTCAGATCCTGTAAGTCTTTAGAGCCAAGAACCAACAACCATTGTCATTTTTACATGTCTCCTTGACCTTAACTTCTAGTTTTCTTGTGGCACTAGTGAGTGACCTGGCATTCTTTTTTCTGTACTTCACAGAGCCAGAGAAATGGGCTCTGACATTGCTGTATAGTCAGTAGGCCTTCTGCCTGGTTCTTTCATTGATCTCTGGAACCCCAGTGAGGACCAGGAGGTGTTGGCAGTGAAAGACGAACTTGCACAGCAGCAGAGGCAGGGCAGATTCCTCAGGCTTGTCCCAGGCAGAGAACAGAGTAGCTCACAGCTCCTTTTTACCCAGCCCTGTGAAAACATGACACTGTTTCCCACATGACTCTAGCAGTTCAGGCTGTCTTCTAGAATCACTGTGAAAATAAAAACCTAGAACAAATGCTTACACAAATGTTTTCACTTTCATCTTTTTCTCTTTCTTTCCCCATTAGGATCCAAGCAAAACTCCCCGGAATTGCCAAAAAAAAGGCAGAATAAGCTCATGGAAACCAGAAATGCAACAGTTACTAAAACACCATTTATTAGTTATAATGTTGTTACTTGTACCATGAAGGAACGTGCTCAGTGTCAGCTTGAGCCTGCATTCCAAGCTTTTTTTTTTTTTCTTTTAATTTGGTGTTTCCTCCCTTTCCCTCTATCCTCAGTATCAAGCACAAGAAGTGTTGGACTGAAAAAGAACTGATATCTTAGAACCCAAAAGAATCAAATTAATAGGATAAATCAGACCTTAATGGTGGTGGAGCTTTTATCTGTAGCATGAAAGGGAAAAGATTGGAGGTAAAGAATGAGAGTGATAGAGCACATCTCTTGGGTCCTCTATCTGGTTTTCAAGGACTAATCTTAAACAGCTCCCATTATAATTTTGCCCTTATTTTTAAGAAATAATGATTAACTTATGAAGAAGTTGTCTGGGGCAGGAGAAGGATTTCTTCCCTTCTGGTTTTTGCAGCCCTCAATCCAACATTCCTGCCCCCACACTAAAAGCAGCTACTCATAATATTCCTCCTCTTCACTTAATAATATAACTTTGAACTGATGAACTTACAGGTGATAGTGGTAATTCCCAGAATGCCATCTGAGAAATAAAGAGTGGAAGCGGAGAGCAGAGTGGAGAGGGCATGGGCAGGAGCACAGCACAGCTTCCGGCACTCTGCAGCTCTTCCTCGGGAAGGGCTCTACCAGCTGGGAGGGTGGTGTCCAGGTCATTTCACTTGGACACCAGTTCAAGCAATGGTTTGGGAATTCATTCCAGAATGTGCTTTCCCCTCTTTCCCGCCCACCTTACCTCAAGTTTAATAAATATGGTTGTACTTTTCTTATTATGAATATAAATTTGTCTGTAACTGCTGTACACTGCTGTAAACTTGTTAGAGAAAAAATAATCTGCATGTGGGCTCCCCAGTTCTTGAAATATTGTAATCCTATCTCAGTCTGTGGGTGGAACATTCCCAGGAGGTGAACTAAAGACACACAAGACCTTTTTCTTTCTCTTTTCCGCACTGCTTCCTTCTCACATGCTGCATCTTTAGTCTGAGGACCAGTCCGTACTGGCTGGAGAGATGGTGTGTCTGTGGTTAAGAGGCCGCACATTGGTGTAGAGAAGTGCATTTTGTGGCTCATGGAGCTTAAATGTTTGGAGGCTAGCTTATGGCATGCGTTGTTCTGAGGATTCTTTCCATTTCAGACACACAATGGTTCAGCACCGTGCCATGGCCTATGCTCCTATGGAGAGTGTTTTCCAGAAGTTTTAAATGAGGGTGACCAGCAAGGCTAGATTGCATTAGTGTACTTTGTACAATTGAAGGATAACAGAACTCACTTTTGAATCACATGGGGGCCCCACTGAGATTGTTTCCTCCTCTCCTGTGCACAAATCCGGTCGATTTGAAAGCAGAGGAGAGGTCCTTAGGCTCGTAGACTTGCCCATTGAGAGGGAATGTGAGCTGACTTCCAAGTGAGGACTGTAATGTGGTGGTCCCCAAGTATTGCAACTGTGTATGAGTAGTGACAGGAATTTTCTTTCCATTCTGGAAAATCACTTGGAGTCTAGATGGGAAAAGTATCCTTACCTTGCTCCATTTTCTTAGCCTCTTTCCTTTTGAATTTTTTAACTGATTTTCTGTGGTGTAGAAAACACTCTCCATTGTCATCTTTTGCTGTTCCAGGAAGTCAGTGCAATGGTGTCTTGGGCTTCCCCTTCAAAGGACCCCTTTCTGCACTGGAAGCCTCCTTACTCGGCTCTTTTCTTTTGTTGCTGCTGTGTTAAGATAATTGGAGAAATCTTTGTGCCACGCAGGATATTTTTTTTTTTAAGAAAATTCTATAGATGAAAAAATTACTAATGAAACTGTGCGTGTCTGTGCGTGCAACATAAATACAGTAGCACCCGAGGAGCTTGAATCTTGGTTCCTGTAAACTGCAAATTGATGTGGTATTAATTAAAAAATAAAGAACACAATGACTGTGGTATCATTCTGCTAACTTTATTCTTTATACACAGTTTGGGTAAAGTAAGAACCGAACAAGGCTTCCTCTCCCATCCCCCACCCTCACTCCACCTTAGGGGCATTCAAAAATTATTTTTAAGGATTCCCAAGATTGCAGAAATTCCATAGCATAGAGCACAGCTGTGCTTTTGGTTCTGAAAGAAAATAAACCCTCTAAGAATTGAACTTAAAGGAAAGAGTGATGAGAGTGGAAGGGGCCCAGTTCAGCCTCACACCAGCCTAGGCGGGTTCCCGGCTTGCAACATGAAGCAGCCTATAAACCACATACAGCAACAGCCACAATGCAGAGAAATTGAGAGTTGGTCACCACACATCAGGTCTTTGCTTCCAGAACCTTCCCTCTGAATTGCTCTACCCTAAAACTAAGGCTGCTGTGACTTAGGCTAGATTTCAAAAATTTATTCAGCATACCTCTTAGAAAACTTAGGCTGAAATACTTAAATGACTAATGCAAACAACTTCACAAATAGGCATACAAACATTTGAATAATGTCACTAAGTAACGTAGTATTATAAATATGTATTCATAGTAACATTTACATATTGGCCATAATAGCAAGCATACCATTAAAAAAAAGAAAAGAAATTTCACCTGTTCATGTCAGAATCCCAAGGCAAGGCAAGGAGGCACACCTAGGGCTGAGGACTGACTCCTGACCCACGATATTATAGCTTGTTGCAGAAGGTATCTGCAGTGGCACTGTCCAGACCATGGCACTAGTGGCAGGCCAACAACGTGTATCTTTAGCAAATTGCTAAGACGATGCTACCAATTGGGAAACCACACTTTGAAAGCCACTGGAGTGCTTGGGGTGCCTCCATGAAGACCACTTCCAGTCCTGGGGCCTCTTCCTGCCTATCAAAGGGGAAACCATTCCTAACCTGCCTGCTCTGCCCTAACTTACCTGAACTTCAGCAGTGGGCTGGGTGATTACATCAGTAGCCCCAATTTGCCTACTGTTTGGGCAGTATAGAAAACAATACTCATTCTGGGTTTGAAAACATGCATGAAAGAAAGTAAAAGAATGGCAGTGCCCAGCCTGGTGCCATTCATAATCTCTATTTTCAACATTTTAATACTGTCTCAAAAACCCTGGGGGGTCGAATGCACTGGGAATTCACTTTTCAGTCTGACTGCCCGTTCCCTAATTCCTATTGGCCACAGCAATGAACCCAAAAGCAGAGCCTTGGACAGCCCTTGGGCTAGGGGCAGCAAGTCCCATCGCTTGCCAGCTGAGGCAGGCAGTGGCAAGAGCTGCCCGCATAGCCCAGCGTCCTCACTCCAAAGAAGTGCAGTCCTTTGCCACCCTCAGGAATCACAAGTGCCCCACACAGGCCACCCTTTGGCAGGCCTAACAGGAAAAGAAATTTTAATAACTTACCAGAGATTGGGAGGCAGTGTGGTATAGTGCAAAGATCACTGAATTGGGAGTTGAGATTTTTATGCTAGTTATTGCCCTGCTCCTAACTGGCTATGTCATTGCAGTTTCTGGGCTTCAGAATTTTACCTGTCTACGAAGGGGGAGGGATGGTACTAGTAACCTCGAGTCCCTTCCAAGTTTGACAATCGTGAATTATGTAAAAATGCTATAAAAACCGTGGTATAAAATCCAACTCCCAATCAGAAGAGTCAAGGGGACTGGCCCTGAGGCACTTGAACCTTGGGCTCTGCCCTGGGTTGGGGGACAGGTAGGAGTCAGAAGTGACTTCCTCTTTGCCTTCCACCTTCTCACTTACCAAGGCCCCAACCCTCCAGACCCGCCCCTCAGGTCCCACCCCCTGACCTCCCCACCCTGACTTTTAAGTAAGCTGAGGGTAGTCTTGTGAAGAACACACACTGGGGCCTGGCCACAGACCCAGAAGAGTAAGGAACGTTTAGTGTCCTCCCATCCCCACCTCGGTCCTAGCTTCTTTAGGTCCTTCCTCCACCACCTCACAGCTTATCTCTGATACACGCATAATAAATAAGACATTTGCACATAAAGGTGATTGGGTCAGCTCTATCCCCGCCCCTCCCCCTCTCATATAAAAGCATTAAATACAGTTTCAAAATAAGATACAAAGAGCAAAAAAAGGGTCTGATCTCGGGGCCACCTATTCTCCATGGGAGAATGAGTCTACACATCCCTCTCGGACCTGCCTGGGAGATCGAGGAGGCCCTTCCCCGCCCGACAGGCCTGGCGCTACCGCAGGGAAGAGAAAAAGAAGCCGAGGCCCGGCCCCAGGCCCTGGATGCTGAGACCCAGTGGCGCGTGCACGGAGGACAAAAGCGACTTACGGTGGGGGCGGGAATACAAGAAAACTGCCGCGACCGCCAGTGCCCCGGGCTCGGACGGACCAGGCGCTGGACCAGAAGCATTCAACTTCGGGGTAAACAGAGGCCCTCGGGGCAGAAGAGGAGCAAAGGAAAAAGTGCTAATCCCGTTCCACGATCCCTATGGGGCGGGCGTGGCAGCGGCCCGGGAGGCGGGCACAGCTGGTCCTGCCCCGCCCCGCCCCGCCCCAGCCCGACCTCCGCGCGCATCGCTCCGCCCGCGGCCCGCCGCGCCCGGCCCACCCAGGGGCTCGGGAGCCTCGCGCTCCGCCTCCCGCCTAAGGCTGCCGTCCGCGGTCGGGGCCTCCGAGAAGCTAAGAACACCAATTAGGACGACACAGCCTGCGCCCCCGAGCCCGGAGTGGCGCCTGCGGCCGTGCGAGGCAGCACAGACCTGGGCCCCGGGCCAGAGCAAGCGGCCGGCGACGCGTCCGCCCTGCGCGCCCCGCGCCCTGCCTTCGGCCCTAATACTGACAGACGGCGCCCCCATCCGGGCCTGGCAGCGGAGCGACTCCCGGGGCGCGGCCGGACGCGGGCCGAGCGGGCAGCGCGCGGTGCTAACTCGGGAGGCCGCTTTGGCTTCTCGGAAAACGTGGGGCCCCGCGCGAGGAAGAAGGGACGGGGCTGCGGGGCCGAGTGCGCTTCCCGCAGCGCACGGAATAGCTCACACACCCAAGTGCACCCGGCGGCGCGGTGGCCCCACCCAATCCCAATCTCCGCCCCGCCCGACCCGACCAGCGGGGGTTCGCGAGGGGCGCGACGGCTGCCAAGGCCGCCAAGAAGCGCTGGTGCAGGACAAGAGGGTCCCCAGGCCAAGGGCCGGGCCGCGCCCCACCGGGCCCGCTAGCCAGCTACGCCCGACACACGGCGCCCGGCTTGAGGTCCGCTCCGCCGTCGCGCGGCGCCGGGGCGGGTGGCCCGAAGCCCTCGTGGCCGTAACAGCGCAGCGCCGCCTCCTCGTAGGCCTCCAGGATGGTCTGGCGCTCCTCGGGAGTGAAGTCCATGGAGAAGGGGTGCACCTGCAGGATGTGCCGCTTGATGGTGCTCACCTTGAGCGTGGCCAGCGCGCCCCCGCACACCATGCACACCAGGCCGCGCCGGCTGCCGTCGTAGTCCATCAGGTACTCGCCCCGCCAGCGCGGCTGGTAGTTCCGCCGCTGCTCCCGGCTGCGGGGCGGCGGCGGCGGGGGAGGCGGCAGCGGCGGCAGCGGTAGCGGAGGAAAGGCCAGTCCCCCGGACTCCT